CATGATGAAACCGGTGTTGCTGATACCCAGAAAGGCGTTCCAATTCCCATTCCCAACCCGTCCTCTAGATGTTTGCCCACGATTTGCATTCCACCCTTTCCACTGGCCGTGTTCACGCGTATTTGGCCCGGGGCAAGGGAAGGGAATGGTGTCAACCCCTCGGAATCGAACACCGATAGATTGGCGTGGAATTCGGGGAGCAAATTATAAAAATTGATTGCCAGATTGCAAACTGGTATTTATGCAAGCTAGCCAAACTTTGAAATCTCTAAATAAAATCATATTTTCGTGGATTGGGCACTTACAGTAACCTCGTAGAGATTCCGAAGGCGCCGAAAAATATTTCTAAGTATTTGAATAGCGTAAATGGATGGCAGTTTACATAGATAACGTAAAAGCTCGACGAATTTTGCATACGAAAATTATTTATGCTTTTTTCAGCCCACAGCGACCCGTCCTCATCAGTTTTCGCTACACAAGAAACTACGGAACCCTATTACGTGGTCGATGGCCAGACGGGGCCCACGGTGAAGTGTACGGTGGAAAAGGCGTACCAGGATCGAGCAGTCTACGAAATTGCGTGGACATTGTATAGTCATGGACATATCAAGTAAGAGGGTACGGTAGTACGAAACTTTCCATTTTCAGGCATATTTCGCGCAATTCGCGGTTATTGTCGAAGGACAACTTTGAACTGGTTGAAGACGCCGCGAATGGGCAGTATGATTTGAAGATCAAGAAGGTATGACCGATTACGATATGAAATTCTCGGATTTTGATTTTTCCCTTTTTTTAAGTTTTTGAGCTAAAAATTGACGATTAAAACCGATTACGACATGTAAATACCCAACTTTTTAGGTGGCGAAGGGAGTAACGGAGGGCAATTTCCAATGCTCCGTGCTAAACCTCGAATCTGATGATCAACACTCAGCTGATGCGCAGCAAGTCATCATTCTTGGTTGGTGGATTTTTCTATCGAAATGGATTATCGATTAAACGTGTTAATTGGCTTTTCTGGTTGCCAGTTAGATGAAATCTCGTTAAATTGGCAATGTGCCAACACCTGGGAAAAATTTTCTGGGTGTCAGAAGACCCTTTAGCGCCCTCAACCTGTTGCGTGGTGTCACTTGGAAAGAGAGAGAGAGAGAGAGAGAGAGAGAGAGAAACACTCTCTAGGTGTCAAACCATTTGACCCTCTGTTTTTCCTGATCCCCTCATTCCCCCTGGAGTCCCTCCTAAAAGTGTCTATCTGGGTTGCGCAATGCCCCTAGGGTATGTCATTTTAGGATTTGGCGATCTGACGCGCAAAAAGCGATTTTTGAGGGCGATGACCTTTTTGTCGGTTAACTGGATGGCAGCTTACGCAAATTCGATTAAATTCCGGTCTACTATTTTAACGGTATGGTGCCAGCAAGTATTTATTTCATTATGACCTCAAAAGAGCCAATTGGCTGCTCGAAGAACGACGATAAATCCAGGTTCTGCGTAATTTTTTCGACGGAAAACCGTCAATTCTGCTAACTGGCGCCTTGTTTTAAAATGCGAATTTAACGGGACTGTGACAAAATCGCATATAGCATTACGACATGATAATGACAATTTTTTGCCCAAAAATCGGAATAATTGGAATTTTCGCGATTTTTTTTGACAACGAGAACTCTCGATTTTGCAATCTGGCACCATTCCTTTAAAGTGTCCATCTTCTCTCTGCTTTCTCTGTGAATTGGTGGGTACCCTTGGCTATGTAGTCAATAATAAGTGGATGGTTGGGGGCTAGAAGTGAGGTCCAGAAGGAGGGGACGGGGACGGCCAATATTTGTCACTCTCTCTCTCTCTCTCTCTCTCTCTCTCTCTCTTTCTATCTATCTATCTCGCTCTCTCTCTCTCACTCTTTCTCTCTTCATAGACATTGGTGCTATGTGCATATCGGCACTTCTTTCCTTGGGTCCCCTTCAATAATACCTTCCGAACTGCTGGAGAGAGAGAGAGATAGAGAGAGAGAGAGAGAGAGAGAAGGGCCACCGAATAGCCCTCGACCAATCAAAGAGCCTTCCGGGCATCGGGGGGTTCAAAGAAACACAGGGATTTGGCTTCAGTTTCCCTTTTTAACCAAGCAGTTTTAAAGGGCTGCCGACGGCATGTGTCGATCCCCCCTCATCAACAAATTGGCAAGTAGCCAACAGGGCAGAGAGCGCGCCCTGGGGAGAGGCGCAGAGACATTTTCTTTCCAGCGCGTAACCGATTGACTATGCCGTCGGCATCCCTGTAACTTCAAATTTGTAAAATTCAGTCCAAAAAACCATTTTTTCGCCACTTCAACAGTCCTTTAAAGCGACAAACCGTCTACTCACCAGTGCGGTAGTTGGCCCTCTAATCTGACTGCCCGACAATTAGCCCGGCCCCCAATTTCCGGCTGCTCCTTTTTGTGGCTAGCAGATAATTGGAAGCCAATTCTGGCCCTAGTCAATAGAGAATCCTGTAAGGGATGAAAAGGGCCATTGTTCTTTGCTACCTGCCAAACAACAAATCTGTCTCTCTGTCTGTCAGTCAGTTTGTGGTCTGTCTGCTAGTTAGCCTTGTAGGGCCCGCCATAGCAAGAATGGTCGTGTTTTAAGGGTCAAGGCCCGAAACTCAATCCTCGAAAAATTACTAAGACTTGGAAATCAAGCGTAATTTGGCAGATTAGCATCCAGTTAGTCATTTTAAAAGGTGGGTTCTAATTTTTACTCGCTATCTCTAACTCTCTCGCTCTCTGCCACCATCTGACCTCACAGCATGCAGCCGGCTTGATGAGGTGTGGAAACAACGAGATGAAGGAGGGCAGGTGTGGAGAGAGAGCGAGAGAGAGACAGAGCGAGAGACAGAGAGAGAGAGAGAGAGAGAGAGAGAGAGAGAGAAGGTGACAATCTGTCTGACACCTTTCTGCCCTGGGGCAACATCTCGAGGATCTCGAGACTGCTGGGGGGTGAAGAGGAAATCCGAAACCATCCGATGCCCCCGGACACATCCCCCTGTAGAACACCCAAAAATTATGCGAACAATGGACTAATTGGATGTCAGTTAGGGGGATTAGGGGCATAGGATTTGCATATTGGTGGGAAATTATGGATTGAGGGGTCGCTGAACCGGAAATGGCCGATAATGGAATCTGGGGAAAATCGAAATCATCAAAAATGCCAGAAAATCCAGAACGCGAAAATTTACCTAATATTTGGTACAATCTCCTGATTTCGCGTGGTTTCATGACTAATTTCGTGTCGTAATCGAATCGCCAAAAATTCGATTTTTTTTCTTGCCAAATGTCGAAAGTTTGCCGAATACTTTTACCAATTTTACCAAATTTGAAGGAGACAGGGATTTTTAAGGACACGGGCTAGTCGATTACCGTATTTTTTTCGACAAACTGGCATACGGCCTACAATTGTACACCCTTAGAGTTGTACTCTAGCAGGTTTTCCTTGGCAAATAATTATCGGTAAGCCGCCAAGAATGTAGCGCCGACGATTAGCCCTCTTTTTCGCACCCAATCTATTCTGGGGCAATGAATGTTTGCCATGTTCTGATCGGCACCTTTAAAGGGACCTGGCCATTGCCGAAGAAGGGCAACCATTTTATGGCCATCCAAATGTGCCCTCGGGGCATCTTATCACACGCCCCGCAGCCAGCAAATATCCCTCCGAGCCGACAAGACATGCCCTGGGGGCACGTTGCGCAAAAAAACCGACAAAAGAGATTAGCAACAAAATGTGGGATGTAAACAACAAAAAATGTGGCAATTTTTTGAGATTCTTTTGACGCAAAAAGTCTCGAAAATACCCAAAATCGCTAAAAATATTTTAAAAAATATTGACGATTTGCCAAATCTATTTTTCTCGAAAATCGCTTAACTGCCTTTCATGTTCCTTTAGAATGTAATTTTCTTGTCATTTGGCCGGTAAGTATCCTAAAAACTAAACCGCTAAGAAAAGCGGGTTTTTCTCAAAATAGGATGTTAAAATTTGACTGATTTGCTTGGCAACTTCCGAAAATCCTTCCACGTTCCTTTAAAATCCCATCCTCCATCCAGTTTGACTTCTCCGGCTTCAAAGGCCCTCTCTGCTACCCAACCTGCCATCTCCATTATGCAAATTAGGGTATGGCGGGAGGGTGTAGGAGCCGTGTGGTCAGTCAAAGTGACATGGGATATTCATGGCCTCTGCCATCCAACTGAAAGATATAACTCTTCTTAAAGGGATCGTCCCTCCAAGGGGACTCCATTTCCGGGCCGAATGCTTGCCAGAAGGGCGTCCCAGCTGTGATCCGGCCGGTTTCCGGTCCCGTTCCGGCGCTTCCGCTCTGATAATTAGCCGGGCATTCAGCCAGCTAGCAGAGAGATAGAGGGAAAGGGATCGGCAGAAAGGGATAGGGAATGTAAATGATATCCTGTGTCCCCTAGAAGATGCCCTGCGGGCACGCGCGCACTGACACCCCCGAGATCACGTCAGAACTCGGGGAGGGCAGCGAAATTTTTGGGGTTGACAGCTATTTTTGGGTAAACTGGCTGGCAGAAAAGACAACCTGGTGTTTACAAAAATTTCAGTAATTTAAATTAAGGAGTAAAATCGATTTTTGGTCAAACTGGCATCCAGAAAATCCAATACCATTTTTAAAAATTCAAAAATCATTTAAAAACGTTTAAATTTTGGGGACTAAAATATATTTTTAAGCAAACTGACAACCAGAAAAACATCACATACGCGTAAAAAATTAGCTTATTGAGAATTTGTAAACCAAGCGATTTTTGGTAAAACTGGCAAACAGAAAAAGTATAAAAAATTGAGATAAACCAAAAACCTTTAAACGGATTTTTAGCATATAAAACGCACAGAAAATCAGATTAAAAATACTTAAATCCTGGCCCAATTCATTTAGAATTTTATTTAATTTTTTCAGTGGAGCCCAGCGCGCCGGAAATCGTGGAATCCCCGCAGCAGCCAATCCGCGAGGGTGATGGCGTTCAGATGAAATGTCGATCAGAGGGTGGAAGTCCTCCTCCTTCTATTATTTGGCTATTCGACAATACAACACAAGCTGGACAGGATTTATATTCTGTTAGCGTCAAAGAGGACGGCACTGTCGAGAGCCGAATTCAGTGAGTTTTTCAAGCTAATTTATATCTTTAAAAATCCAAAATTAACGGCTTTTCAGCCAGTGTAAAAAACCTTGAATTGCCTATACCTTTAAAATAGCGTAAACCTTGGCATTTAAAATGCAAAATTTATCAGCTGATATCAAGTAAAATCTATTTAAAAACTAAAAAAACTTCGGCCTTAAAACCTGAAAATTAATAGCTTTTTAAATAATCGATGCACGATTAAGGCCTATTAAACTTTAAATTGGCAAAAAAGCTATAACCCGATCTAATTACCGTATTCCAGATGGCGTGCCCGTGCCGAGGACAATGGCGCTTTTATGACGTGCGTCGTCTCCAACAAGGCATTGGAAGGAAGAGCACCAAAGACCGTCCAGAGCTCCCGGCTCAACGTAAGTTGGTGTACAGTGTAGTATGGGGGTCAGATTGACTAGCTGTCAAACAATCAACCAGAAAAATTTTTGCGTATTTTGTAGCAAGATCAAAAAGTTCAAAATTAGCCAGTTTTAAGAAAATTTTTAGCGGCGGTATCCAAAAAATCGTCCAAAATACAGTCATTGCCGCTGTGTGCCTGTCGGCTTGTCGATCTGCCATCCAATCTGTCTGCCAATCACCCCCGTTTAGCTTTCTGTCGGCCATTCAAACTTTTAAACTTCTCACTGATAACCTACAGGCTCTCTTTTCGGCCCAAAAGCCCAAAAATCATGCAAATTACGATAATTCCGATCGTTTGTCTGTCAGTTTGTCGATCTGTCCGCCAATCTACCCGTCAATCATCCCGTTTGTCGATCTGTCGGCCATCCAATCCATCCCGGAGGTGCTAAATGCACGCTAACCCCCGGGAATTGGCCCACCTTTTTTTCCGTGTTTTTCCTCTTAACGGCTTTCCTGTGAGGGGGAAATGGATGTGCGAAGGGAGGGATTGAATGGGGTCATTCCAATATCTTTCCCCTCCTTTTCTCTAAGGGTTCCGGCTAGATCCCCTGTACCATTTCACCGCGTCAAAATCGGGGCCACGCATAACTACCCTGCCCTCGCGGCGAAATCCGAAAAAAGGGACCGACCGGATCCCGGAAACTGTGATGTCGTTAGGAAACGTGCGGAAACTGCAAACTGGCATCCATAAAACCTTATTTCAGGTGCTGTACAAACCCACCGTAACCGTGGGCCCGGCGTCGGAATATATTGTTGAAGAAGACCAGGCGATCGAGTTGACCTGCCAGGGACAGGGAAATCCACAGCCCACCGGATATGAATGGTCGGTTTTTTGATTCCTAGGCTGCGAGCTACAAAGATATAGTGTTTTATGCAAACGGGAGTCAGTTTAGATAATGAAAATGACAACCTAGGCTACAGGCTACAAATATTACTTTTACGCCGAATTGGTGGCCAGATTAGCAAAATTTGCCTAGAATTTCACTTTTTGATTTTTTAAAGAAAAGTTGATGCTATATCTTGTCATTTATAATGTAGCTGACAGTCAGTTCGTCGCTTAAAAACATCAAACCACAAAATTCTTTGGAATTCAGGCCACAAAGTCGATTTACCGCTTGTTTGCAATCCAATGTGGCCAAATCAACCTTGATTTTGCCTTTAAAAACATTGGAATGAATTTTTACGATTAGTAGTGTATTTTTTAATCACACTGCCATCCAGTTAACCGTTTCGCTTTCAAATTTGCCCTTTGAAAACCCCTTTTCCGCACATATTTTGAAAATTGTCGGCGCCAGGGTGTCGCCACCAGGGCCATACCCTGAATTGGCGGTCAGCAATGGGGTTTTGGGTGAAAAAATGGAGGGCACGGGCCAGCCATTATGCCGAGAGGAGAAGAGGAGGGGAAGGGCAGGTGGACAGGATGGGTATCGGGTCGGTGGTACCTGAATATGGGAGGTAGAAGGGTAAGGGTAAGGTAAAAAGGGTAGAGGCCTAGAAGGGCACCTGTCCAATCCACAAAACCCCCCGGCTGGGTGACGAATAAATTTGCAGGGGGGGGGCGCGAATGGGGTGGCACGAGAAATCGGGAGCAGCCTTAGAAAATTGCCCTAAAACTCGGAGGAAAATAAGCTAGGGACCCCAAGTTTAAAAAGCTGAATATTTCAAAGCATAACGCCATAAAAATTTTCTTTTTTTTTCTGCGAAATCGCTCCGCTTGAGTACAAGCTACAAATTTTAAGTTGGGCTAGAATTTTTACAATCGATTACACTATGCAATTATGGCCCCCAATACTTTTGGAAACGTTCGTAAAAATGTGATTTTTCGCTGGAATAGCCGACTGGACTACAGGCTACAGGATCGTAGAAAATTAGACGGTTTGAGCGTCAATATAGCCAATTTTGATTTACCTATCGTAACCTTTTGCAGGAAACACATCCCAAGTGGCGAGCGATATCTCGACTCGAAATGGCCGATTCGCGTCGAGCAGAAGAGTGCTGGGGAATATGAATGTAGAGCATCGAATAGCATCGGAGAATCAATGGATCGGCTACGTGTAGATGTACAGTTCAAGCCGAGGGTTGTCACCAAGGTAAGCGCTAAAAAATGATATAATTCTCTTAATTGGCATTCAAAACTTCTCAGCGTTCAAAAGGCTTAAAAATCTCTCAACTGTGATCCAGCCTACCCAAAAACCTATCGAGAATTAATTTTTGGGATACCATAACCTCAAAAAATAATAATTCTCCCGACTGGTATCCAATTCATCCAAAAATCTATTGAAAGGACTTTTTTCAGAATACCGTAAACTTAAGTAGCCTAAATCGCTTAACTGTCATCCATTCCATCCAAAATTAACTTAAAAACATTTTTCAGGATACCGTAACCCCGTCGGAGGGAGATACCGTAACCCTGGAGTGCCAAGTCGAGGCAAACCCTCGTGAAGAAGCCGTAGAATGGACGGGACCTAATGGTTTCCAAGCCAAGGGCCCGAAAGTGGTGATCCCATCCGTGGCTCGGGATCAGAGTGGAGACTACGTATGCCGGGCGACAAACTACTTGACTCTCTATGGACAAACTGGCACACAGCCAAGAACAGGACAATCCACATTGAAGGTAAGTTAGCCCTTTTAGGGCGTTTTCATAGCGTAATTGGTTTAGGTGGATGTCAGAAGGAAGCCTGGAGCCGCCAAAATTAGCCCGGCTACCCTTAATGTGCCGGTTGGAGGGACTATCCAATTGTCATGCCAAGCCATCGATCTCGGAAGCCCGCAAGCCGAATATAAATGGGCCAGCCCGAGCAGTGGAGGACAGTTTGGATCACTGTAGGTTTAACGACATTTACAAATGATCGGCTATAATTTAGTAGTTTGTATTTTTGCAACAATACAGATTTTTCCAAAATCATATGGGTTTTTGCGATAGCTTTCACATTTTTGGCTCAATTGTCAGCCAGCTGGCGCTATCCATTTAGCGCTGGTACCGGTTTATTTCCGGTTCGAAAATAACACGTAAATAACACATCAAAATTGGTTAGAAACCGTAGTTTGTATGCCAGTTTACCTTTTTGATACGGTTTTTTTGTTGAAGATTCGCAAAAATGATCAACTTTGTAGCCTGTAGTCAATTTCTTATTTTTCAGCGATCACGCCGGCGACATGTTGACAATTCGAAACGCTCAACTATCGGATAACGGAGAATACCGTTGTCTGCCGTACAACCGAATCGGAGATGGAGATATTGGAATTGTTCGAGTCGTCGTCATACAACCCGCTACTATCTCAAGGCCATTAACAACAGAAAGGATATATACGGCTGGCGAGACGGGAACTGGACTCGAATGTGAAGCACAGGGGTACGGTAGTTTCCGTGTAATCGACTTACAGCCCGTAATCGATCACTGATTTCATCCTGTGATTTTTCAGATACCCCGCCCCCGAAGTGCTGTGGTTCCGCAACGGCCAACCAATCGATAAATCCCGATTCACCCTGGCGAATACCGTATCCCGGTCGTCGTGCCCACCCGGGGATTACTGTACCCGATCTACCGTATCCACTCTCTCCTTCCGAGCAGCTGTAGAGTGGTCCGATAAGGGCAATTATACCTGCGTCGCGGCTAATGGTACGTGCTTTTACAAAAATTGCAACAGCAAGGAGTAAAAAATTCTAAAAATCGAATTTTGAGATTTTCAACAAGAGATGTGTTTTTTTCAGGAGCCGGTGAAGCCGCTTCGACATGGACAATTCTTCGCGTAGTCCATAGCCCGCAGATTCTGAACGATATCTATAATGGAGAGGCTCTGGCTGCGACTGATCTCGGGAATACGGCCCGAATCTCGTGTCGTGTCTCTGCACGTCCGGAACCGAAATTCGCCTGGTTGAAGGAATCGACGGAGATTGAGGAGGGACCCAGATTCTCTGTCGCTACAGCACAGATTCCTGGTCAACCTGACGAATACGAATCGGTACGGTGTCCCACGTTTTAAAGGGATGTAGACAGCCAGAAAAGAAAGAGAGAGAGAGAGAGGGAAGGAAAAAAATTAGAAACAATCCGTTGTTTTGCAGATTCTCTCGTTCCCGGAAACCACGAAAGGCGACTATGGACAGTACTTGTGCCGAGCCACCAATGGCAAGGGCGCAAAGGCCGAGGCGATCATTCGACTGAAGGAACGAAGTGAGTCGTTGCAAGTTTAAGGAATTCGGGAACTACAAATCACAGATTACATAATTTTCTAGACGATTTAGACCCTAGAAATTGAAATTTTCTGATATTTTTTAACTTTTTCCGTAGGGTCCCACGACCAATTTGGCTTTATAAATTGTTGCAAACCCTACAGGCAACGGACTGCAAACCACAGACTCCAAAATCTAATTACCGTTTTAGGCGCTCCCGAAGCACCTCTTCAACTCAAGAAAATGTCCACCTCTCCGTCGTCCCTATTTTTGGCGTGGAAACAGGGCTTTGATGGTGGCTACGCGCAGACGTTTATTCTGGAGTACAGACGGTATGCTGACGTTAAATTTTTTTGCAAAAAAATAAGTTTTGCTGGTTTTTAAATTTATCGTCATTTTCCAGACTAAACCCATTCACGGAGACGCTTTCCGAGGAAGAGGTGACTACGGTAGAGGTCAAGGAGCTGCAGCGGATCGATGCTCCAATGGTAAGTTAAATTAAACGCATTTTGCTGCCTGTCACCGTCCCTTTAAAACGCAAAATATCTCATTTCCAGTCGGATTCAACCCGATCGAAGCGTTCTCCCGGATTCCAAAGTCTTGTCGCCTACAATCTGACAAATCTACTCCCGAAATCCACCTACTATCTCAAGATCCGGGCCAAGAATCAGCAGGTAGCATTTTAATGACGTAACCAAATACCGTAATTTTTTCTAGGGAATGTCCGAATTTTCCCCAATTCTCTCTGCAACGACTGATGATGTGTACGAAGACAGGACCGTGGAGGCTCCCGCCGAGATTTCCTACAATGCCCGCACGATGGGGCTCGTTTTGGAGGTACTGTAATCCCGTTTTTTTGGCTTCTGCTAGATTTTTAAAGAATACTTCTAATGATAATCGGGTATCTGCCTGCCAGTTTAAATAATTTGATATCTATATTTAAATTTAAACAGTGAAATTAAACAAATTTTGAACAACCGTCTTTTTGAGACTACTTTTTACTTCTCGTTTTTATTCTTCACACATTATAAATTTTTGTTTTCAGCCAAAACCCTCCTCGGACGTGTGCGTGCAACTGTACGTCTCGTTCGGTGACATGTCCCGAGGAGTGGAATGTTGGCCATCGGATCGAGAGATTTCTGAATTGCCGGTTGGTGGACAGTTTGCAGTACGGTATTGCTCGCGGAACAATCGGATACAGTGTTCGCCGATCAGGTACGGTAGAATGGATGCCAGAATGGATTTTCAACAAACAAACACTGATAATTACGTCGAATTTCAATAAATAAAATCAGAAAATCCAAACACGGGCTTTTTGGGCGAAAAAGTTAAATAAACTATTTTAATTCAAGTTAATTTCGCTTTTTTTAGTCACGCCGTCTCCTCGCCAAGCCCTCTAAGCTCAAGATGGCGCTACTTGGTGCCTCTGCTCGTTGGACTGATCGTGATCGCGTTCCTCTCAATCCTCTGTGCAATTTGTTGCCGATCGAGGAGAGGAGTCGACGATAAGGCGAAGAAGGCCAAGAAAATGGATATGTAAGTGACTTAAAATTTTAAACTGTCTGCCAGAAAAGACAATAAAACGCTAAAAATCATACTTAGCGGATATTTTAGTCGCCCCGAAGTCTCCGGGCCAATGCCGCCTATGGAAGCGAAGAATGGGATGACACACGGATCAGCCACTGATTCTGGTGTATTTACACTCGAGAATGGGCAGAAGGGCATTGGAGGAGGAGCCGGATCGGTTAATGGACACACATTCAGCGCGTGAGTCGCAAAAACCTTTTAAAGGGGCCGTGAAGCCGCGGATCGCCCTCTTACGTTGCATAGGTCTGCACAATTCACTCCAAATGACGCGTTGAAGCGCGCATTATTTTTTCTTTCGGGCTACTGTAACCATCAAGACGGTTTTTAATGCGTGATTTGTAGTTTTCGACACCTAGTCGATTCAAGGGATCGATTTCGCATTTTTTCATTTTTCACGACGTAATTTCTGAATTTTCAGGAACGAAACACTACCCGAACGAGATTCCTGGCCGCCGCATTCTGGACCAGTTCCCTCCCAATTCGACCCATTCCACAACGATCCGTATTTGAATGAATATGATGGGACGGCGTGGAGGACTAGTGGTAAGCTATAAAATACATTAAAAAAATTGAAAACAAAACAAAATTAAAATAGATTTAATTTATTTGGGATTCAAATGATTTGGAAAATTTTGAAATCTAAATTTTTGAAATTCAATTGAATCTAGTTTCTTTGAAAAATTAGCAATTTCCAAAGAAAAAGCAAAAGAGGTTCTGACCCATTCCCAAAGAGACCCATTCTGTTTTAATGGAAGGCATTAAATTAATGAGTTTAGCCAGATTAAAATCTGATCAAAATAAGTTTTGAATAAAATTAAAATTATCCAAGGATAACAATAAAATAAAGAAAATATTTTTGGAAGTTATTTTTTAGAAAATCTAAATTAATGAATTAATTACAGTGCACGACGGCAGCGGCACAGGTTCGGGACCCGAGAATCAGACAGCGACCACACATTCCGATGGAGGAGATTCCGATTCGGAGGCATTTTCCGGACAGGGCAGAGTTATCAGAGAGATTATCGTCTAGACTCTAGTCTCTAGCCTCTATACATTTCTCTGCGTCTCTTCCCTTCCCCTGTCTCTCTCTTTCTCTGTGTGTCTCTCTCTTCTCCAAATGCGGGTCTATCCATTCTATTCGGTGCTCTTTTATCCCCTATTCGATTACGACATGAAAATTGTAGCTAGAAGAATATTTAAACTAAAATTAAGTAAAATCTAGTCCTAATAAAAAAATTGTGCGAAAATGGCTCAATCTATTCACTTAAGAAAACTCATAATTTCAATTTTTTTTTGTAAAATAATACAAAACGTTGTGATGCAGAGTTACGGTACCTCGATTAATTTTTGAAAATTAAAATAGCAATTTAGCCATGACAATAATTATTGTAATATTTTTTTTTAATTATTTAAACCAGCGATCTCGTCAACTCAATTCTATCGCTCTTTCATCAATAATATCCCTTTATATTTTGCTTTAAAGTATCATCGACAAATCGCTATGATTATTTGCATTATTTTGGCGATGTTTTTCCGTGTTTTTATTTGTTTTTTTTTTTGTTTGTATAGTTTTGTGGAATTGGAGGATAAATATATTTATTTATACGTTTAAACAGAAAACCACATTTGAACTATGAACTACATTCGAAACAACTCATTTTCTTGAAAATTAAAGTCTAAATCTAATAGACAAATTTAATACGGTTATTTACAATTGCGGTTTATAGAAAATGGCTTAAATAAAGTAAACTAATTAAGCCAAAAATTTGGCAGACGGCATTTTATGCAAAAAAAAACTTCCAGCGAACCCGAAATGTCTTAAAAACGGTGCGTGCATTTTGAATTTGATGGCGCCTAGAGCTTCAAAAGTTGCTTACAAAAAATTTTTGGCAAAATAAATTAAAAGCCAGATTTTAATCGATAGCGGATACGAAGAAAAACAGTTTTATTAATGCTAAACATCACTATTAATGCGATTAATAAGAGATCCCAACCTGACAGGTGCGCTGATCAGGCTCACATCTGGTAGTGATGGCCCAAATGTGACCTCAGGCGACATCTGGGGGGTGAAAAGTGATAAGAAGTTGCTATAAAAGAAACGGAAAATTGCGAATTTTCATTCTAATCGTTCAACTGACCATCAGCGGCTTCAACCGATACTACGCTGCCATCAATCAATCATTCTTCATCATTCACATTTAAGATGCCCGTCCAACAGGTACGTCTTTATTTAGCTATCAAATTAATTTTCTATTTTCTATCAGTCAATTTTTCTGCCAATAATTTCAGTGAATTCGTAACGTTCAAGAAAATTGCGTAACTGCAGATATCGGCGAAAATTACGTAGTAAATTTTATTGAATTTTTTCTGCGTCTAACGCGATTTCCCTTTTTTAATAATACATCATTAATTAGAGACACTTTTATTGGATAACCAGGGTTGAAAAACCGCTTCGCGGCTTTTCAACCCTGGCCCCGTCCAGAACCTGTGAAAGTCCTTAATTTGGATGTTTCTTCCTGAATTCTAGCAAGAAAAAAAGTGAAAAACGGCTCCCCTATCCCTTTATATAGGCTCTTCCTACTTCCGGCGTATGGTAATTTCCCCTAACAAACAGGGTTTTACAAAAACCTATTTTTAATAGCGAAAACCGCAATTTTTCAAAATTTTTATGTATGTGCAGTCGATTCCGGACCATTCTAAACCTATTGTCGTTTCTTCCCTATCCAAAAAACCCTTCCCCGAGGCTGTAGGAGCGGAACATCCTAACGGAAGTGCATGCAAATATATATATACACACACACACACACAAACACTATTTTTTTATATATAGTAGGATTATGTGATTTTTACATCGTATTGTGGGTCATTTTTGCCGTACCCTTCCGGCTGGGGGTTGTATGCTATCCGGTGCCCCTGGTTTCGGCCCAATACACGCGACATATTCCTATTCCAATTCCTCGGCCCCGCCGCCAATTCACGAAAAGGCTACTTTCCTCAAAGAATCTAAAACATATCTAATCGAAACTCTTCTAGTCCTCCTCGAAAATGGCCTCCACGTCAACACCCGGTGATTTGAGGATCAAGACTGGAGATGGTAAGTCAAAAATCACGAAAAATATCTTTTCTACGAATTTTTAAATCAACCATTACAAACTCTCAAGTTTTAGCTGTAATGAAGTAATACAATTGATAAAAAAGTCGCTACATTTCTTACGTTACGAAGATTTTAAAAGTCTCTCGAAAATGTCGGCTTTTGATTCTGAAAATGTGAGTTTAACATGTTTGACGATAGTTTTTTTGGCAGATGCTTTTGATATGGTTAAACTGACGGCTACGGTATTTCAACAAATTTAAATTTCGAAAAATAGCGGAAACTAAAGCAGAAATTGCGACTCTCACTCCAGGCACCTTCATCGCTTCGAGCCAACGAGCCGACGGAAGCTGGCGAAAGCCGAGAAAAGTGAAGGAGGGATATATTCCACAAGATGAACAACCCAAATATCAGGCAAAAGGCACGGAACCGGCTGTCAGGGGACGGTAAGTCGATTCAGATGACGGTACCTAGGGCGCCAATAGCACCAAATCAAGTCCAGGTCGATTTGTAGCCAGAAAGTTAGTTTTCGTTGAAAAGCTAATTTCACTGAAGATAATTTTCTGTATTTATCTGGACTGTCCACCAATTTATCCGAAAAATTAATAACGATCATGTAATACGTCTAAAAAATTGGATTAAGGAAATTCGGTTTGGCTGGTTTTCACCAATTCTGAGTGTTGACCCGATTTTTACAAAGAAATTTGAAAGTCTTGTTTCCTATTTTCCAAAATGATAAAATTGTTGGTCAATTAAGACAATAAAATGCCTTCATTGATGTTTTTTCCAGCGCGCCAGTTGGGATCACCCCGATGGCGTTGGCAGCACGAGGGGCGGGAGGAGCCTCGCGTCCACAGAAACCGATCACGGCCATTGAGAAGGAAAAGGCATGCATCACCCCACAGGATCATGTCAAGAGGAAAATGGGGAATGTGCAGAAGAAGCTGGATGAGATTACGCAATTGGAGGTAAGTCTCCAGCCTATTGCTAAAAAATTACACTTATTTATACCGATTAACCAAAGTTATCTATTTAATTTTTGAGTTAAGATCATGCTGTTTTATTAATTCAGTGGTTTGTGACGGTAACTAACTCTAAAACTAAAATTCATTTAAAAATTTCGTAAATTAATTTGAAAAATTCCTGTAGTTTTGAAAATTTCTTCCTGACTGACAGTAGACAAATTTGTCTATTTTTTAAATTCCGGTCACTAGAAAAACCCTGTAAAAATATGATTTTTGCCTAAACTGGCAACCAGTTATAATAAAAACCATGAAATAGGCATTTTCGAACCGATTTTTAAAAGTATCGGAATTATCCATCAATTTCCAGGAACGTGTCGCCAAGGGTGAAGCGGAGAAGTTGGAGAAGAATCAGTTGACAAAGATCGAGCGAAAAGCGCATTATAACGACGAAATGGCAAAATTGGAGGAGCAGTTGAAGGCCCTCGATGTCAAGAAATAAGCTGAAACCTGTGATATCCGAGCTATGAAATGATTGATGGCTGCGCGGCTCAATAAATATAAATTCTAACAGAACCAATTGTAAGCCATTTTCAAATGCAAAACTATGACAAATCAAACCCAAAGAAATGCAGTAGGGCTGTAATTGCAATCTGGTATAACAATAAATGCATAAATAATAATACAAGTAAAAACTTGGTTTCATAAATAGTGCTTTTTAGGGTTTCTTTACAATTTCTAGGGCTTTCTAATGGTATCATATATCAATATAAGCTGATAATTCGGCGTCGAGTTAGAGGGGGTGTTTTTTATTGGGGCTACCCTTTTACAACAGTATTTTTGCACACGAGGCGCATTACGATAAATTTATTCACTATTTTGATATTTTAGGCTTGTCCGTAATTCTCTAGTCTCTGCATGCAAATACACGATCCCATCTTTTTCATCCCAGCACAATTGACAAATTCCCAACCGGAAGTCAACTAAAAATAAATCGATAATTTTCTAAAAATCCTGAAAATCTGCATCCACTCACGTCAGAACACAACAGATCCACTCCTTTATTTGTTGTGTATGTTAGGGAATTCGGGGGTGAATAATCGAATGGAGAGCCATCTCTGGAAAGTGTAAAAATTAATAGACGGGTTCACAGATCGCAGAGTTAACCGCTCTTTGAAGGTATCGGGAAGTCTGAAAATCGACTCAAGATCGATTAAGTCTCGACAATTACGGAAGTTTTCCAATGCTATTGCATTTACAATTAGTTCGCGGCTAGGCTGAAGCGTTTAGGTAAAAATCGAGAAGCGACTGGATGCATTAATTGGCTAATAGCGTATTGTCGAGACCTAGTTATGTTATGTTAAATGTTAACCTTGTTATGTTAAATGTTTCCGCTTTTTATAGCAATGAAAAACCTAACCTCCAAGTATTAACATTATTCCCTGTCCAAGTCATCCCAAGCCAAACACCGATATATTGGGTCGAGGCCGAACAGTCTCCTCGAGTCGACCAAACATCTGAATTTAATAGAACAGGTAGAGTATTTTTGAAACATGCTAATCATGGTGCCTGATTTTTATAAAGCGTGAGCTTACTGGTCATAAAATTATTTTCGGCGTCGGAATGGATCGATGGTGGCTGAAGGCCAAGATATAAACAAGTATCAAGGCAATTCTAAAAACAGCCGGTTTTGTACAATTTAAAACTCAGAAAAAAAATTTTTAAAATCCATACCAAGCGCAAACATGAGAGATAAAAATAAACTTAGATTCTACGAAATTTTTATAAAACTAGCAAAGGAATTATAGGGATTTAGAAAAAAATCGATCGAACGGGAAAAAACGATCAAAGCGGGAATACGGAAAAAGCATCGCTGTACAGCTTACTTGTACGTATGAACAGTCACCCAAATTGTAGTAATTTGTATTGTTGAACACCCAGTCCGGCGAAACTGAAAAATGAATACTTAGCGAATTTTCGAAACTGCGAGTTCTGAGCAAATTATGCCACTTACTGCTATCATAATAATTCGAGCACCCGGAATATTGTGGCCCGAAATCGGTGGAAACTGTAGAAACGCTGTATTCCGGTGCGGATTTGTCCAATAGACAACTACTTGTCGACCCTAAAGATCACAGACTTTCAAACTTAAAGCAGCTTTAAGTCAATAAAATGCGTCAAATGCGTCAAAATTCCATTCAAATCAATATCTAACTCGCGATTGCCAAAACGTCATGTTTCTGATTGCTACTCAATGGCACAAAACTAAAAAGTCTAAAACATAAAGATGATTTAGATTTACATTTTAAACGCGGTGGTTTAATAAGATTTTACCAGCACTAATCCCACTGCAACCATTCTTCCCGCATTTTTTCAGGCATTGTGGTATGGGTAGAGCAGCGCCTTCGACTCTTTTCACGAGCAGTAAGGTAGCCGATGCAGTATTTAACAGCAAAAAAATTATGAGGAACCTTGGGAACATCGTTGCTAGTTGGAACCCGGAATTTGCAGTTTGTTGTGGAAATGTTACAGGGATTCGGTGAACGGCGTGGAAACATTAGTTGCTAAACAACAGGAGGGTGGAGCGCATCCGTGTGTCCAAAAAGTAAGCATATCTTAGCCGGAAATGGGAATTTGCTAGACTGCTGCAAACAACGGCAAGCTGCGTTAAAAAGGCATAAAAACGCGAAAGTTAAGTTGTCAAGGAACAATTTTTAGAATTTCGGAGTAAGCTTCTGAACTCACGAAAGGTACTCCCTCGAAAAGGGTTAAAACATTGGCTTGAAATTATACAAACCGAATATGACATGAAATGCGACACGGTGAACTTCTTATTCCCAAGAAGAAGCTGTTTGCAATCAAGGTTATCGTTTCAACTTCAAAGAAAGCTGAACAGGTCCACAGCCACCTTTTTTCGATTTCCTTGTTTTTCACCATTTATATCAAGTCATTTTTCTTCGTGATTCTGTAAAATGGGTCAATTTATTTAGAGACATATGCAAAAAATCGTGAAAAAGCCGGTAGCAAAGTATAAAATCAATGGTAGGACAAAAACGAAAACGTCCGATGAAGTGAGTTCGCCGAATGGAGGCAACGAATTGTCGTGTAAAATAGTAAGCTACTCACAAATAGATAAACCTTGGCCAAATCAGCGCGTTAGCAAGAAAAACTTTTACAATTTGAGTCAACACATTTCATGGAATTCCGTGCAGAACGACATGTCTGAGAGAGGTCCATTACAATAGGGGAAACAATTGATATCGTCGAGTGTCGGTCGTAAGTAGAAGTTCTAGGTGTTTCCATAGTGCGCCAGCCTTCTCATACAAACACATGGCGCCAGGGTATCCGTGCTCTTGCAGGCCACGTCATTCCAAACGCCCTTGCTCGTGATCTGGAAATCCGCGTTTTAATGGGCGTCCCAGATTATTGGATTTGAAAAAAATAGTTTGCCACAAATTAAATATTACCAAAACAAAAACAGACCGTAGAGCACAGCTCGTTCTTCCCCTCCCAGGCATAGGTCAACGGATTTTCTGTACGCTGACGCCTCAGCTGTGCTGTATAATCCCACGGAGAACCGTCTCTGAGAAAAACAAAAAATTCCCAAATTGAAATTAGATACCTCCAAAAATTAGAATGATTTCCCCTCCACGAGAATCCAATCCACAACCGACCCGTGAAGTTTACTCCCGAGCATTTTGCACGGTTTTTCAGAATCCCTGAAAAGTACCTTTTTCAAGTATTTTTACCGTTAAAATTAGCTTTTCAATTTAGCGCATCTGTATCTAGTCATTAACAGAGCACGGTTTTTTGAAACTTGGCCATTAAATCCTGGATTTTGTTTGTAAAAGAATGCTGTTAAGACACACCCGTAAGATACGTATTTTCATCTTCGGAATGTATCGAAATTGGCTGAAGACCGAGGGTATTGCAAGTGAGAAGACATGCCTAAAAAAATTATAATTTTCCTTAATTTTTTTGTCCCCTTGCTATAGAATATAATGACTGAAAAACGCAAGATATGCAATCATTTAAATAAAACAGGTACAAATTTGAGACTGACCTGTCCCTGCGTACAATTCCCCAGTAGATAGTATTCCGTATTGTTGTAGCTCCACGTTGACCGTACTTACAATGGTTTAAAATTTTCTGAAAATGCGATGAACTTACCTTGATCATAGTAATTACCACAGTTTCCATATTCCGGATAACTTGTAGTAATATTTTTAATAGAAACGCGATAATCCGGGCAGGTTTGATTTAATTGGCAGGTGGTCGTGCCTGAAAAAAATGAAAAATACGAAGTCCAGAAAATATTTAGTTCATCGCAATTTAGCAAAATTTTTAGATTTTAACAACGTGTGTAAAATTTGTGAAAAACCTATGATTAATACGCTTTGCCAATCTCAAAAACAATCAACTCCCTCACCTTTGCTAATTCCTACACAATTCCTCTGTAAGCATATCCTCATACAGGCCACACTCGGTACGGGACCATCCGTTAGACGCGTCAGGATGACGGTAGTTGATACAAAAGCGTATTTCGTAAATAGTGAAATTAAAAGTGAAAGAATTGGGCTAGACATTCGTTTGTTTCTTTCCAAAAACCACTTTTTGGGGTGGTGATTTCAAATTTTATATTTTGCTGGTTGCCAGACTACCGATTTGTCATAATTCCAAGTGACCGGTAGTTTCTTAATTTAATGCGATAAACCCCTAAAAATCTGTCCTCTTCGATCTACATCAAAACTCCGAAAAATCCTTGAACTTTTAGGTAACCAGACTCAAAGTTTCAAAAATAAAAATACCCAGTAAATCTCGCGAAATTCGATGCACCTTAAAAAAGGTAAAATTAACATATTAATTGCTACAAATTAACAAATCGATTTATTGGTTTTTGTTGCAAATTGTCAACGACGAATTTTTGATGATTTTATGGGGTTCCGTAATAGGCCGGGAGACGTCTCTGGCAGAGACAAGCAGACAGTGTATCCCCCTGACACGACAAGTCATTCCAAATATCGCGATCGATCTGAAAAACCCAATTTGTTGTAATGCAATTTATTTTGCCTTAAATTGAACTGCAAATCTTTTGACTTACCGTAGTACAGTCCTCTTTCTTTCCACCCGCCCACAATCCGACAATCACCGGGTCTTGCCTGTCCAATTGAGCCATGTAAACCCATGGCGAGCCATCCCTAAAGGATTTGGTTGCCCCGCGGCACGCGACGCGCACGCCATTCGGGTCGTGAGAAATTACGCAATTGTAACGATTTTCAGGTCTTTTTGCTAGTTAAAGGGGCTCGGAAGTCAAAATTCGCCGATACGATACGGGGATCGAACCTACTGATCAAAAACGAAAGACGAAAGGGTCGCGGCAGAAAAGTACTGATAGTATCAAGCGTCGCGAAGCGCTGATAAGCGCTGATAAATACCACCACGCAATAAAAAAAAACAAGTTGACGCGTTGCGTGTCGCGGGCGTGATATTTATAGGTTA